GCTTTAGAGGGAATTGAGATACAAGCATAACAAGGATCAAGAGAAGAACTTCCACCTTCCTCTCCCAGGGTCTCAGCCTGCTTGGGTATGGATGTTACTAATGCAGCAGAGTAATGGTCATCAATATATGCTCCAAGACCACTCGATCGGTGTTTGAGGGACTCAGGTGTTCCCGGTCCCCCACCCCCAGCTCAACTTTCCATGTGCCAAGTGACCCACCTGCTCTGAAAAGAGATCTGGCAGAGCTCTTCTGGAGGAGTAGTGGGATGGGGTAAAGGAGCTCCCCACATCTGTATCTGGAGTGACGTAACTGAAAGAGCTTAATGTCCCAGGAACTAAGGCAATGGTTATTTTGAAGTTCATAATCTCATTTTCAAAAGTAAGGTTCAGTTTAGCATTAGAATTTTATTTAAATTTAAGATTTTTAAGATTCTTCCAGTTTCATAAGTAGATAAAGGGAATGGATAAAAGATTTACCTTGTTGATTTATAACATTTTTAACTTACCTAAAGGTGAACTATTTTGTGCAACATGCAAGTATTTATAATGTATGCATGTGTCCCTCTGTCTCTTCCAATAATACAGCATGTAAAAACTAACCAATGCAGAAGACATAATTTGATATTCAAGAATGAGAAAAAGAACAAATGCATAACTGTTTGCCTGCATGACTAATGCAATTTCATTTAAATGCCATCATTAGAAAATAGCAAATATCTGACTCGAAAAGACTAAAGCTTCAAGTTTTTATAAAGTCAACAAGTGTGTCCTAAAGAATTTCTAAACACGTAGCTGAATGGCAAACTAAACTCTCAATTTGTCATTTGTATCTTTGGAGCTCGAGAGATATTAAAATCCTGAAAAATAGGAGGGCTGTCTTGTTTTCAGGTTTAGCTTCATTTAGTTGCTTTTTTCCAGTTTAGAACTAAAGTTACCAAAAGGAGGTATATCATGATCGGTAGATAGATTAGCTGAAAGCTAGTGAGTAGCAACCAAATAATCAGACGATACACAAAAAGTAAAGCAATTAGAAATAAAAATATTTCAGGGATAATTTTCCCCAAAGTGTAACAGGGCAATGATCAAGATCCACCAAAACAAAAGCAAACAGCCATCCTGAAACTTAATTACATTTCAAAGTAGTACAGTCACATGAAAGGAACAAAACATTTTTGTTCAAATGGTAGTTTGCCTACCAGATGGCATCTCTAAATACAGTAATCTGAAACCTTCTGTTTGTCCTACAAATAAATAAAGATGAAAGGAATAGCAACAATAGCCAAGCATTTAAACCACTGGAAATAAAAGCACACTCTGGTTAGGTTGGGCAGATCTTGGCTCATTCTAATAAGGATCCTGAATCTAGGAAAGGTAAAGTTCAAGGGAAAATTCCAAATTCCAGTCTTCAGGTGTCCACCCCTGGCTACCTAGATGCTTAGACTGATGCTCACCCAGGGGGAGGAGGAAAGCTGGAGTAACATGAAAGCTGAGGAAGCCCAGGAATCTGAATAGAGACTGTAAAGGGCTATACTCCAAATTCCACAAGGGCTTTAAAAAAAAAGAGTTGGGATATGCTCTTCCTTACTTCTGAGATTCAATGTGTAAAAGCAGGTAACAATTAAGGAGCCTGACTGTGTTGGTTTGGGGCTTATTTTGCAAGGGGAACAACATAATACAGGACACATACTTCATATGATTATTTATAATAGTCACCCAAAGAACATAAAAGAGTGCAGGGAATCTGTCCACACACTAAGACCAAGGAATCCAGCTGAGGGCCTGGATCCCACAACAATGTCCTACATGAGTTGAGCTGAATACCCAGAGCTCATAGCAATGCCTCCCATGAATCCACCTGGAGGCTCAGAGCCCATGACAATGTCTCATGCAGGCCTGTTTCACAGATCTGCTGGGAAGGCCCAAAGGTCAGTAGTGGAATCTACAAAGTCTGTGCCAGCAGGAAGAAGGACCTATGCTAGCAGGCTGAGGGATCTGCACTGGAGGCAGGAAGTGACGCTCAGAAGAACCAGAGCTCCCTGAAAAGGTACCACAGACATCCTCGGCAACAGTGAGGTCCCAAGCTCCTCCAATAATCAGGATGGCCGAGTTCCAATCAGGGAAGCCAACGCAGCAAGCTTTTCCAGGAGACCGGCAGTGCACCATCTTCCCCTCCAGAACCAGGAAGCGATGCTCAAAGTGAGGACCAGAGCTCTCCAAAGTGAACTGAAGCCTTTCTCAGTGCCAGCGAGGTCCCGAGCTCCTCAGAGAATGAAAACAGTCAAGTTCATCAGGAAAGCCAGCTCCCCACAGCCTCTCTCAGTTCCCAACAGCCTGCTTCTTCTTCTCCAGGTCTGCCTCTTAGTCCTCAGGTGCGCCTCCCACACCCAGCACTACAGTTACACAGTTCAGCTGGGGGTTATAAGTTGACCACCAGTTATCAATCCACTACACTGATTCTGCAGTCAGGCTAGACACAAGAGTCCACACTCAGACCTACAGGATGAACTTGAATCAAGCTCCTCACCTCACCTCTCAGAGCCTCACTGGCAAAAGGAGGCCTAGCAGTATAATTTCATGTAATTTCTTTACGATGAGAGTTCTTATCGAACAAGAGAGTTCTTTACGAACGGAGTTCTAAGAGTAGCACTGTTATGGTTTAGATGTACGCTGTCCCCCAAGAGCCTCATGTGGTCAGAGGTGGGGCTTTCAGATTGGATCGGGGCGCTGTACTCACCAGGGATTCATCCATGGGTGAGTTCACAGCTGAATGTGACATTAGGCAGGGGTTTCTCACTGAAAGAAGTGGTCACTGAGGCATGACCTGGAAGGATGCACCTCTCTGGCCCAGCTCCTCCCTTCCCTCTCTGCTCCCTGGCTGTCATGATACAAGCAGCTTTCCTTCACTGGACCGTCCCACCATGCTCTTTCTGCCTTAGAGCCACTCAACTGTGGCCTGAATAGTATAAGAATGGTGAGCCAAAATAAACCTCTCCTCCTTCAAGTTGTGGGCATTTGGTATTGTACCCAGTGATGGCAAAGTGACTGTAATTTGCACCAAAGCCCTCCCTTATAGATGGTGTACACCACCTCCAAGTGGCTTCTCCTAGGAGCACGGGCCTTCTTCTCACCTAGGTCCTGAAAGCCACCCGGCCCTCGCTGGGGAGTGCAGGTCTAGAGACAGAAGTGCCTCCAGTGAGACCGGGCTATCAGAACTCAGTGCACTGCCCCTGTTCCTCCTCACTCACTTCACCATCTGCACGCACGGTGAAGCTCTGGGGCTTCTAAGAAACAACTCCATGTCTTTCTAATCTGATTAACTGATGGCATGTAAGGTCATTCGCTCTGACACCATCGGTAGGACACTGATGAGCTTGTCTTGGTAACCAGCCCCTGACAGTAAGCAGTTTGGTCATCTGGGTGCAGAGCCAATACCTTGAACAAACAAAAGATAACTTGTAATTGCTCAAATATGATGCAAGCTATAATGAAAGGAAGGCTGGTGTTTAACGGCCGAAGTTATACTGGGTTGTTTTGCTTTTTACCTGAGGAAAGAGCCACCTGCTAGGACTAGTCTTCGTACAAGTTACCTATGCGTAAACGTTTATGTAAAAACAATTACCTTCTTGTATTTTTAGAATTGCAGTAGAATATACACAATATAAAACTGACTCCTTAAAACATTTTAAAGTGCAGTTCAGTGACATGAAGTACTAAATGTAAGAATGATGTGCATCTCTCACCGCTATCCATTTTCAGAAATTTTTCATTATGCCAAACAGAAACTTTGCAGAGATTTTACAATAACTCTCCACTTCCCTTTCCCCTTAACACTGGCAAGCACTATTCTACTTTCTGTTTCTATGAAGTTGCCTATTCCAGATACTTCATATGGGTAAGACAGTGTTTGTCTTTTCACATCTGGCTTATTTCATTTAGCGTAATGTTTTCCGGGTCAGTCTATATGGTACCATGAATCAGAATTTCATCCCGTTTTAAAACTGGATAATATTTCATTGTAGATATATCCCACACATGTTGCTTAACATTCATCTGTAGGTGGACATCTTAGCTCCATCTCTTGAGTATTGTGAATAAAACTCTATGAACGTCAGTATGTGTGAAGATCTGTTTGCGTCCCTCTTTCATTTCTTTGGGGACATATCCAGAGGCAGAACTGCTTGATCATGTGACAATTCCGTGTTTAACTTTCTGTGGAACCATGGGACTCCTTCCACTGCTGCCATATTATTTGACACTCCCATCAGCAAAGGACAAGATTTTCAGTTTCTTCTATATATCTTCACCGATATTTTCCACTTTTTTTTATAACACCCACCCTAACGGCTAAGTTTCATCACTGCATTTGCTAACTATTTTTACAAAAAGTCACAAAGAGGAGTTATTACACAGCTAGTCACCCTGCATGTGGAAAGCTGCAAACGTCTTGTGTGAGTCTCAAAGCGCAAAGTAAAATGTGGTCCTATCTGTTAAGTTTTAAACACAACACTGACATTTCTCCAAATAAGTTAAACCTGAGTTTTAAAACTGCGTAAAAATCCTACAGCAAATTCTTAGGATATAAATAGTTCCCAAATCAGGACCATCGCCTATAGAAGGCTGATGCCTGTGAATATCTTTCTTTGGAAAACCAAACTCTTACTGCAGTCAGAAATACCTTACACTTGACCCCAAATAGTAAAAAGGTTCCAGATGCCGGGCAGCTGCCGCAGCGCATGCGCTGTCCTCTGTGTGAGAGCGTGCTGACGCACGCGGGGAGGAGCTGGCGGGGGGGCGGAGTTAGGGGCGGGGGGCGGAGCCGGTGCCGGCGCGGGTGGGGAGAGTACCAAAAGGGGGTGGGGCCACACCGGCGGAGGTGGAGCTGGAGGCGGGGCCGTGCTGGCAGAGGTGGAGCCTGAGGCGGGGCCAGGCTGGGGGGCGTGGAGTCGTAGACGGGGCCACGCCGACGGGGTGGGGCCGAAGGCGGGGAGAGTTGGCGGGGGCGGAGCTGTGGGCGGGGCCCCGGGCTCCGGCGCGTCTACCGCGATGGCGGCCGCGTGGGTTCCGGGTCGCCTGCAGCGCTGCGTGGTGTCGCCGGCCGGGAGGCACAGCGCCTCGCTGATCTTCCTGCACGGCTCAGGTGGACCGCAGTCTCACGTGCTGTTTCTCTGCAGCGGGGAAGCGCCCTCCGCGGCGGCCCCGTGCTCCCGAGGGGTGGCGCGGCCGGGCCTGTCTTCCGCGGTCTGGCCGCGTCCTCTGCGGGCGGCGCGTCCCTGCTCGGTCCCTGCGGGGCCCGAGAGGCGCGCCGGGCGTTCGAGTCCACGGCTAGAGATCCGTTTCCGGCACCGTGCATCATTCGCCCTTGCTTTCTCTGTCTGGCCCATCCTGCTGGGGCCCGAGGGAGTCGCAGTTTCCCTAACTGAGCACCTCCCCGGGCCGGGGCTGCAGCGCTACCCCTTCCTTTTTCTTGTCCCCCGCCTCCTGCCTTCTTTGGCCTTTCTGCCTCTGTTCAGAAGGCCTCCAAGATACAGCACTAGGTCCCTTCTGAGTCCCCAGGGCGGTGCCTGTCCCTTCCCTGCCTGCCCACACGCTGCGCGCTCCGCGATTACTTGTGTCTTCTGAGTACCTCCAGGGTAAGGCCCCTGCTTGTTCTAATCGTTCCTGCTCAGTGCTTCGTCCAGGAGAAGTCCCCAGGAAATATTTTTGTTTTTGTTGTATAGAAGATGAGACACAGCCGTGTCCTCAGGGGGCCCACCTAAATTTAAAAACAAAAACAATTCAGTTACTTGGAGTCAGCAGTGCACAGGCGATCACAAGATGGTCCATGATTTACTGCCAAGTGAATAGCAAGGAAGAAAAAGCCGTGGTTAGACATTATGAAGGCATTTGGAAGACGAAGAGTGTCAGATTTTTCTGAGGAAGTAGTCTCAGCTGAAAGTGAAGGTTGGAAGGGCTGGTGATCAGAGGAAGGGAGTGAGAAGATCCGAACTGGACGTGAGCAGCCGTGGGACCGTCCCCCCTCCTTTTGAAACTGAGGCCAGGAACGTCCAACAGCGTGAGCAAGGTCACTTGGCTGTTACTGTGAGTGGTGGTGAAACGGGGTTGAGCCCAAGACTCTCTGACTCCAAAAGTCAGGATCCTGCCATGCCAAGGTGAAAGCCCCTAAACCGCAGAAAGAAACCGCAGTGATGCCTAAAGGGAAAAGACCTGATCGATGAAATAGCTTTAGCCAGCGAGATGTTCAAGATTACAGAAATGTTTTCCAACTGGGAAACTGGGGCCCCATTCGGGCTCTAAGGGTATTTATAAGTACCCCCAAATTTCCCAATACTATACCCTTTCTTTTGAATAAATTTACTAGTTCATAGTATCTTTAGAAAGAACTCCTAGATGTTCTTTTCCTGGACCACTTAAAGTAACTATCTTTACTCTTCAATTTCAAATTACTGACATTTTTATATCCTATAATGCATATCTCTGAAACCCAGATACATACATTTGTATATTTTCCCTTTGTTCATCCAAATGATTCATCCAGATAATTCTGTTGATATGCAAGTACTATATGAGTGTTCCATATTTTAATCTCCACTGAAATATATAAAACTCAGAGTAGGCTTTGTAAATCAAGGTTAGAGGCTGATGGTTTTGTTACAGGAGGTGTCTGCTTTCTGGTTAACCCAAATATGAACATACTAATTTTAACAGTTGTACTATACTCTGGAAATAAGGAGCTACCTTTTTTAAAAGTGGACTTGTGAATGGATGGATAGATATTACTTTGTAGCATTTAGTCTTAATTTTCAAGACTGAAAAAGTTTGTTTAAAGACTTTTCATTTTTTAAAACACCTTAAAAGATTGGGGTTCTCATCTAAATTGTAGAAACAATGGAAGAACATGCAAGAGTGTCAGTTACATATTACTGACTTAATTTGAGCTTTTCCGAATTCTAAAATGCTAAAAGGTACCTTCTGTTAGGATCACTAACATAAATGATAGATAGCTTCATTAGCTTTGTCTGCTGTCCCAGATTAGGTAAATCCATTGTGTTACTAGCTCCCTTAGGCCACTCTGGTTCCTTTTTTTTTTTTTTTGTCTTTTTGAGACAGGGTCTTGCTATGCAGTTCAGGCTGGCCTTGAGCTCACTTTGTAGTCTAGGCTGGCCTCGAATTTGCAAAGATCCTTCTGCCTCAGCCTCCTGAGTGCTGGGATAACAGGTCAATGGCATTCCTCATACTGTGACCACCTAGTTTAAGGTTTGGGTCCCACATGGCAATGTCAGGCTCTAGGAGACTCAAACTGTGTGTCATATTTTTGGCTTACCCATATGGTAAGTCACCATGAGGTGACTAACTTGGGTCTTGATGAAGTCACCCATAACTTCCCTGTCTCTTACTTGAATTGCTCTCTGTCTACCTTTTTTGCTCCTTTTGCTTCTTCCGCAGACTCATCCTGCCCTTCCTGGCCATTAATGATGGGTTTCCTCAAAATTTGGTTTTAGGACTTTTCACTCTGCATTTTTCTCCTCAGAGTAATTATACTCCGTACAAGCATATGTATCTGTTTTCACCCATATACAGTAGATGCCAATGTATGTCTCCATTTTCCACCTCCCTTGAGTTCTAGACATATTTACCTAACGATCTGATAAATATTTCATGCATTAATCCATCCGTTCAAAAATATATCGAATAGCTGCCATGTACAAGAGACTTTTCTAGGCTCTGAGCACATAGCAGTGAACCAAACAAACAAAAATCACTGCTCTCCTAGAACTTACATTCTAGTGAAGGAAATAACTAATACAATAGAAGATAGTGTGCTGGGTGGGGGGAGAGAAAGCCGATAAAGAGCATAGAAGGTGTGAGGAGAGGCAGTTTTAAATAACATGATCAGGGTAGGTCTCACTGTAAGAGTAATGCTTGACTGGCTAAGCTTAGGTGTGCAAGTTATGTGGATTTTGGATTAGGCTACACCAGGCAAGGAAAAGCCAAGGCAAAGGGCCTGCAGCAGGTTCCCTAACATGCTCAAAGGCAGTCAGACCAGCGTGCCTGAAGCTAGAAAGGAGGGCCTGGGGAGAGGCCCAGGGGTTGCATCGAGGCAGTGCAGAGCAGACGTTCCTCATAAAGGCCAGATGGTAGGCACTTTAAGCCTTGGGAACCGCTTGAGATCCCTGTCTCCTAGTCTTCCCTTGCCTTGGCTTCCTTCTGTTGCTCGTTTGTTTTAATTTATTGTTTCTTTCTAAAGACTTTCCAAAACGATGGAGCCCATCCTTCACTTATGGTCCTGTGGGCCATAGGCTGGATTTGTCCTCCTCACTGGTGCGCTAGTCTGTGCCAGGCCACTGCTGGAAGGAAATCTTATAGTCATTACAGAGAGGGTTTCACAGAGACCGCATACCCAGCATCTCCCTGTGCTTCATGTTCCTGTCTTGGAACCGAGTCACTCTAAGAACCTAGCAGTGCTTCTTGAACCCTTTCACCCCTGACCCTCATAACTAATGCCGATGTCTGTTGATTGACGTCCTCAGTACCTCTAGTATCGCTTCCTGTTTATACGGCTGCCTTCCTAGTCCAGGCATCTGGCACCTGAGCAGTAGCCTCCTGACTGAGCTCCCCACATCTGCGCCTGTCTACCCCTGTCCCTGGTCAGTTCCGTCTTCACACAGTGTGGTCCTCTTGAATGGTGCGACATGCTCCTCCGTGCTATAGGTCTTACATACTTCCCACCTCACCTTGCCGTGACTGTTTCTCTGATCTCCTCTTGCAGTTAGTATTGTTCTTGTCCTCTGCTACTGGGCTCATAGATGTCACTGTGCTTCCACCTGTCTCAGGCCTTAGCATTCACTTTTCCCCGGCCTCTTGCTGTCCCATCCACACTTCACCTCCACCACTTACATCTCCATTGGAAGCCCAGTCTGGGTCAGTGCTGGTCTCCAATGAGCAAACAGTGCAATGGGTAAAACGGAAGGGAGCTAATCGCCCTGCAGAGCCTGTGTTCCACTGATCTGGTCCCTGCACCCTTAACCCGTGGTGTCTGAGTATCATAAACCTGGCAGGTCCAAGCCCCTCATCTGTGCAGTGATTGCATTCGTCCTCGTGTATTTGCTGATCATTTGACTGGTGCTTGTTTCTCAGTGTGAGCTGTGGACTCTGTAACTCCATAATAGTAGGGACACCACGTCCCCCCTCAGATGGCCCCTCTGCCCGTGAAGAGCATGCCTGGCACATGAATAATTGTTCAGGAGATCATTTTTGAATTAATGTCTGAATGAATTGATTAAAAACTTAAACTGTATCTTTAAAATATCATTTTAGTGTTGTGTAACTTGGACCTGTACTTCATTTTTTATGCAAATATGCATATATAAAATCTGTGGGTCTTGTTTTTATTTCTTAGCTTTGGAATAATAATAATGATTTGGGGTCATATAAACATGTTACCAAATCTTCTAATATCTTAAGATTAAAATCTCAAATTCACTGAAAATCCCTTGTGAAGAGTTGCTCCTGTTATAATGGAGGGAACCAATAAAATTGTATTAGGTTGTTCTAACTACAAAAATGTATCTGTCATTTCAGAAATGTGTTACTTTTAAGAGTAAAATAAGAAACTACTGTTAAAATTGGATATAGAGAGAGAAATAATTTTTTCTAAAAAATCAATCTCTTTTTGTTAGTATTATACCCTTTAAACGAGGAAGCATAAAATCAAGCTTAAAGTCTTCAAAGTGATCAGTAAGAGAGCCAAGAGTACAGTCATCCAAATTATGACTAGCTAATGATATCTGATCAATTAACTCCTTAATAAATCAGCTTCTAGGCAGTTATTTTTGTATATGGGTATTATATAGTCTCTCATCCCAGCCTTTGTGTACAAGGGCTGTAAACTGCACTGAAGTGCCCTGTATATTAAAATGTGTGTCTGATCCTGAACTTTGTAATTTCATCAGGTGATTCTGGACATGAACTGAGAAAATGGATCAAGGAGGTTTTAAATCAAGACTTAACATTCCAGCACATCAAAATCATCTATCCAACTGCTCCTCCCAGGTATGCAGCAAGCATCTCGCCTCCCAGTGCAACCCTAAGGTGTAAATACCTCGAGATGTTCAGTTAGATATTCTTTAAGCTTAATTCTGTATTTAAAAAAAATTGTAAATGAGGGTCTTTTCCCCCATGTGTTCTTTATTTTGGGCTAAGTTCTGCCAGGTGAATAACTTCCCTCCTGTAAATCATTCCCTACTTCTTGCACCTCTTCTAAACCTTTTTTCTTCTCCTAATTCCCCCCAGTGGAAACTTGATAAATTGAACAGGTACAGTCTTTCTAATGATTTAGGTAACTCATAGTCTCCAGAAAAGGGCCTTGTGACACTCCTCCCACATTTAAAAGGTTTGCTGAATCCCTAAAATGAATAGAAATACGGAATTGACTACTTAATAAATATTTAAATTATATAACCTGCAGGTTTCTTTAGCAAACTTCACAATAATAACGCTTGCATAGGTATTTTTTAATTGAAAATTTTATTGCAGAAAAGACACAGAGCTAGTTGTTCCACAGGCAGCATCAGCAAGAGGCAGAAATTTGCAACTCCACTTACAGAGAGCTGGCTCCTCCAAAGACAGAGAAGCTGACACCGGTACAGTTTTGAAGTCAGAGGCTGCTTTTTATAAATAATAAGTCATCATCCACGTAGTCTGTTGTTCTGAACATATGTTGTAAACTGGGGTTTGCAAATATTTTTGTCTAAGCAGAGTAACGCACTGAGCTGTGCAATCCAATCTGATTTCTCACTATCTGTTCTCAGTTTACTTTTGTTAAGCACTCTGTGTGCTTATGCAGATACTTTCCTTTTTTGCTGCATGGACTTATAATGAAGGAGAGCGAGCCAGGACTTCAAGGATCTTCTTGCATTCATTAGTAAGAACTTACTCACCTCACTGATAGAATTGAAAGAGGTAAAACCAAAACGATAATGGAAGGTGGAAGAATTGAGACAGCTATTACTGCTTTGCTTCAGTTGAAAGTTTAGAGGGGCTGGGGATTTAGCTCAGCAGCAAAGTGCCTGCCTGGCAAGCGCAAGGTCGTGAGTTCGGTTCCCGGTACCGGAGAAAAACCAAAAAATAAAAAATAAAAAATAAAAAAAGAAAGTTTTGAAATTTGGTAGCACAGATAAAAAATCTTGTTGGCCAGTGAGCTACTTTGTGCTGCTCACGGAAGGATTCCTACATCATGTGCCTTGTTTAATTCTCTTTCCAGTAGCATCCGAGGGAGGCATGAGGTAGATACGTACCTTCTATAACCCTCAATTGTTTTTTCTTTGAACCCTGGGCGTTTACACACAGCTATGTCCCCAGCCCTTTTGAAAGGTTTTATTTGTGAGATAGGGTCGCACTAAGTCACCAAGTTGACCAGATTGACTCAAACCTTTGGTCCTCACGGAATGCCTTGAGCCTCACAGATTGCTGGCTAACTCTCACATTTTGTGCTTGTTGGTTAATACAAATGCATTTTATTTATTTATTTATTTATTTGGTACTGGGAATTGAACTGCCAGCCAGGCACTGTGCCACTGAGCTATATTCCCCAGCCCACAGATGCATGTTAACAACTTTTTTAAAAAGTGCATCAAGTGTTCATCCACTGACATTTTGCTGCACACTTTCTTACATTGTCCTGTTTTGTCTTTCATCATCTGTGAATCCTTATGGTTTTCTTTCTCTGTCTTAGTCAATTTTCTCCCGTTGTTCTGACGAAATACCCAACAGCCAAAATGAAAGGAGGAAAGGTTCATTTAGCTCAGTTTGTGGAGGTTTCTGTCCATAGTCAGCTGGCTCCAACGCAGGGTAGCATGGCACAGGGGCAATCATTCATGGCATCAGAAGACAGGAAAAGAATGAGAAAGAGAGAAAGAAAGAGAGAGAGAGACAGAGAGAGAGAGAAAAAGAGAGAGAGAGAGAACAAGCCTTTCTATGTCCCCTATATTGTACTTAGGCTACCAGCCCTAGGGCGGGTGTGTAGCACTCACACCCTTAATCCCAGCATTGGACCATGGATCAATCATAAGCTCTAGATTTAAGCCCCGCTTCCCCCCATGAATGCATGAGGCTTTGGAGGGACATCTAGACACAAGCCATGACCTCTGAACAGCCATGCTAGTCCTACCACCTGCTGTATCCTACAGGTCCCTCAGAGATCTCTCATCTGGCCTATTTAGCCTTTAAACAATCTCCCTAGATGCACCCATTCGAATTGATTGCCCACGCCTTCCTGCGGTTGTTTCTTATTGCCTCCTCAGAGCTTGACACAGTTTATTGTTGTGGGATGTATAAAGTCAGAGCTACCATCTTTCTCTCTGCACTTTAACTCTCTTGAGTCTTAATGTTTGTGAAAATAAAACTTCCAGCGATAAACAAAAGCATTAAAAGTGTAGTTCAGTGAGTATTGATAAATGTGTGCACCTGCTAACCTCAGGTAAGCCCAAGACTGTTCCCTCCAGCCCCAAATTTTCTTTACCTCTTTGTCGTTGGTTCCTGTATCCAGTGGGCTGTAGGATACAACTTTTCTCATTTCTATCACTATAACATAGTTTTCATTGTTCCTTCTATTTTAGTTAAATCCCTTCACCCTCTGACTGGCTTGGTTCTCTAGGTTTAGTGTTTTTGTGTTTCACTTATATATGTCTATCAGTAGCTCCTTTTAAGATTCTAAGTAGGTAGTATACTGTACGAATAGACCACAATTGCTTTCTATTCTGTTGCTGGTGGATACTTGGATTTTTCCTAGTTTTTGGATCAAGTGCATAACAATGCCATGAATATTCTTGGACAAATCCTTTGTATGAGAATAGTTTTATGGCTTCCTCTCTGGACCCTGCTCTGTTCATTGTTCTGTTTATCTAATCTTAAGCTAGTGCTAAACTTTTGGTTATTACAGTTTCATAGGGCATTTTGATATTAAATGGTGTAAATTTTGATCATTCTAAGTTCTTTGCATTTACGTGTGGTCTTCCATGCATGCGCAAGGTATGTTTTACTGTTTGTTTAGGTCTTTATTAGCTTAACTTAGCAGTAATTGGGAGTTTTCAAAGTAGAGGACTTTTTCTAAATTTATTCACAAATATTTTGGTTTACATGCTTATTAAATACTTTCTAATTATTTGTTGCTAGTATATAGATAACAGTTTTATTTCAGTATCTTGTTCTTATACTGTCCTCCCTTCCTAAATTTACATATTCCTAGTAGTTGTGTAGGAACATATCATAAGCTTTTGTGTAGACAGTGTTATCACACATGAATAAAGCCACAGTGCTGTGTCTTTTACAACCCGTACGCCCTTTATTTCCTGTCTTGTCCTCTTGCTCTTGTTTGAACTTCCAGTACCATATTGAGTAGAAGGAAGGAACTCCTTGGCATCTCAGAAGGGAAGCATTTAGTATGTCACCATTAAGCATGATGTTATAGGATTTTATTGGAAGTACTTTTTGTTACTTTGAGAACATTTCATTCTTTGCCTAATTAACTAAAAGTTTTCTTTGTGAGTATGCCTTTGCTGTGTCCCTTGAGATAACTACGGTTTTTTAAACTTGCAGTTTGTTAGCATGAGGAATTACCTGGATGGATTTTCAAATGTTAAATAGCATTCCTGGGGGAAATCTCACTTGTTCATGATGTATTATCCTTTTATATGTATGTAGCTTTGTCAGAGAATTTTACATCGTGAGAAGTACAGTTGTTAGTTTTCTTTAATGTCTTTATAGCATTTTATCATCAGGATTATAGCGGCCTCTTAAAATATGTTAGGAAGTTTTTCTGTTTTCTGAGAAAGTTTGTGTTTCTTCTTAAATATTTGATAAAATTTAGTGGTGAAATTATCTGGAATGAGTTTTCTTCTGTGAAGTATTTGATACTAAATTTAATTTCTTTCATAGAGCCAAGGTGTTCATATTTTCTCTTTATCTTGGTGGTCAATGTTAATAATTTCTCTTTTTCATCGAATTTTTATCTTTTATCTAATTTGTCAAATTTATTGATCATTTTCCATGATATTTCCTCTTAGTGCTTTTATGCCACCATCTTTTATTCATTTCTGATAGTAGTACTTTGTATCTTTTCTCTTTTTTTCCTTGGTTCACCATGCCAGGGGGTTTTCAATTTTGTTAACCTTTTAATAGAGCTGACTTGGACTATATTATTTTCTGTCCTTAGCTTCCTATTTCATTTATATTGGCTCTTAAATTTCATACTCCTTGTGTATACCAGAGCTATACATCTCTAATCACTATATCAGCTAAGGCTCACTTTCACAGAATTGATATGTGTGGGTTTAGGTCTGTAGTTTCTGGTCCTTTAATCCCATTCTTTCCTTCTTTTAAATTATTTGAACATTTTAGTACTTCATTTTAAGTTGTCCATTCCCCCCAACTGTGCTGTGGTACAATATATATAGCAGATATTTCTCCTTCTTAGAGTTAATTTTTACCACTTTAAGTGAACTATGAAGCCTTAAATTATGCAGGTCCTTTTATCCTTCCACTTTATAATAGTTATGTGTATTTCATCTATCTATGTTGAAAACTCCATGAAACTAGGTTATGATTTTTGTTTTTAACAGTCACACATATTTTAAGAGCATAAAAGAAGAACAATAGTCTATTATGCCTTACTTGTGGCTTGTTAAGGCATATTGTTGTGTTTTGATTAAGTTCTTAATTACCATTTTTCTTATAAGTAACTTTTTCCCCACCTATGTTTAGTAAATGTTTTTAATCAGCTAAGTAGGAACATATTAAGTAAGAAAATCAATTCTTTTGCTGTATTAATGAAAATGGAAAATAGTGATGTATTTTTTTCATTATGTTAATTTGGACTCTATAATTGAAGAATCCAATAAAGATTTTTACTTCTGTGACATATTTTGGCTGTATTTACAATTAGTTTGGGTTTACTATTACAAGTTCCATTTTTTAGAAGATAACAATTTTTTAACAAGCTATCCACCATTTATATGATGATATAATTTCTTTTGATGTTTTGAAAACTCTGTAAA